GGGGCCAGACCAGCTGATCTCCCAAGTTCAATTCCTGCCCAAGGACTGATCTGAGCTCCCTGTTCCCTGCATTGCTCATCCCAACACTCACAGCAGTCTCACCTCAGCCTACAGGGTCTCTGTCTTCAGAGGCAGTTTTTTTCCCCGATTTTAATAGTCTGGGATCGGTTCCTATTTGAGTAAACTCATTAAACTGATTTTTTAAGTGCAAGCTATTAAATACTGAATCCAAGACCCACCTAAACACCTTTATCAAGCCAAGCTGTTTATGTTGAAACCCATAATAATGATTTTTACAGCCAGAAAATCCCCCAAACAGAATAAATCTATGGGAGGAAGACAAATCCACCTTTGTCACACCAGAGTAGGGCAACAGCCAAGAGCTGCTCTTCTCAAACACTTTTATTGCCATTAAATGAGGAATTAACATTAGGATACGGGTGTACACAAAAATAATCTGCCCCCAAAATACTGCAAAATAGCACTGAATAGTATAAACCAGCTATGAATGGGCTCTTTATGCATTTTATAAAAATCTGATTATTCTAAATTTAATTACAAATTATACTTTCTATTTATTACTTGGGCACAGAGAAAAAGGACTAACGGGGGGAAGACAATTAAAACATTTCCCTGCATATGCAGGAGGTTCCAAAGCAAGGCAGAGGACGAGATAATACTAATCTGGGACTCCAAACTGCAGTTAATTGACCCCTTGGAAGCTGCCAGGTTTTCCTGGTGCTTCACGTGATGACACATCAAACCCACAGAGGCTTGTCCTGTATCAAACTGTCAGGAAGGACAGTTATCCCAAGCAGCTGGATAACCCCAAATCCCACCCCGGCTGCCAACAGGGCTGGCACAGGAAAGGGAAACAAAAGCAGCAAGGCTGCAAGGTCACAACAAACTGGCACTGATAGGAATTTCAGTCTCCACAGAGCATTAATTCCATACGAGCAGCCTCTCCTTAGGTCATGCTCCGTTAACAGGGGCAGAAACTCCCATCCATTAAGAACTCAGGGCTTGTTTTGGGGTGAAACTTGCTGAAATCTGGAGTCCAATCCTGGGCACCTGGAGAACTGTACCCCTGGATAACTGGGCACATGGATACCTGTGTCCCTGGATACCTGGGGCCATGGGCACCTGGAGAACTGTGACCCTGGGCATCTGGGCACTTGGACACCCAGTTCCCCGAGCACTCGGGCACCTGGATACCTGGCTCGCTGGGCATCCGAGTACCTGGGTTCTGCATTGCCCGGGTCCCCGGGCACCTGGATACCTGAGTCTCCCTGTCCTCGGGCATCCGGATAGCCGGATACCCGTGTATCCCTGTCCCCGGGCACATGGATAGCCGGATACCCGTGTATCCCTGTCCCCGGGCACATGGATAGCTGGATACCCGTGT